GTCGTGTTAGTCGAGCTGGGCTCGAAGTAGGTCACTACCGTACTTCTCCACATACTCTCGAACAAGGGCAGGAACATCCTTCAGTAACTCGTCCACGCTCTCCCACGAATCCTCGATATTCTGTAAACCGGCCCACGACACCTTCAGCTCCCAGCGTTGCAAGGTAGCGCTGTACCGGTGATCAGTAATGGCCTTGACTGTCATGATCATTCCTTGTCCTGCCACGAACTCGAGTATCTCCTCCGTCACATTTAAGGCTTGGTCCGCGTAGTACTTGAGCCTGGTAGCATGAGCTTCATACTCCGCTCCAGTAACGAGTTGTCGAATCTGGAAAGAGTGTGGCAGTGCTGCCATCACTTGAAATGGGCCAACCCACTGCCCAAGTAACTTATTGTTGGGTAGTCGCTGGTCGATTCGCGACCAAAGAACAAAGTCTCCGACGTCGAAATTTGCTGCGACGCCGTTCTTGGCTGCCATCGCTTGTAGACGTCGACGTTCCTTAACGTCCACAACTCCCTTATGAAGACCGTGTAGCGAGCTGCGGAGTCGATCCAAATGCTCTTCCACTGCATCAGGCGTGATCTCCAGCAATTCCTCGTCGCTGCCAGGTCCACGTACGACGACATCCAAAGCGGAAGGTGGAGTAAGCCGAGTAAACAACTCCATTGGCGAGTGACCTCCAAGTGATCTGACTGCAGTGTGATTCAGATTGGCTTGAACAATGGCAAGTAGATATTACCACTCGTGGAAATCCAGCTTGTATTCCAGAAGTAACGCGCGGAAAACCTGAAGGATGTCCTTGTTCAAACGCTCGACGGTCCCGTTAATCCACGGACTGTATACTGGGGAGAACTTGCGCTCAATCTTCAACCGCGCACACAGGTGGTCCACCATTTCGTTACGGAAATGCGAGCCCTGGTCAGATAGCAGAGTCTCTGGGCAGCCGTACCGCTTGTACCATCCCAGAAGACCTTCAGCCGCAGAGTACGCTGTAGCCGTGCTGCACGGAAACAACTCACAATAGTGTATGAGGGAGTCCTTTAGCACCAGAAGATAGCAGCTGCCGTCAAATCCTTCACCTAAATAGGTGAAATCCCAGTGAAGTCCTTCATTGCGTCGGGAAGCGGTAAAAGTAGGTCCATACGGGCGCTGAATCAATCTTGATC